TAAATTACCATTATCTACTTTAATCGAGAACTTTAACCTGCTGATGAACATTTATTACCTTACGTGCGTGTTACATGCAAGTCATTCTGTATCAAATAGCAGTCGACAGCAGCGTGGGCTCTTACAACTATCAAAGACATGAAAAATATGGTACTTGTAAAGTGAGGAAGTGCAGTGGAATGAATCTGCATGCAACATGCTGTGAAGTAGATTAGGCAAGCAATAAGGAAAATTCGACAACTTGTCAAATGCTCCCCCACATATGCCGATTAGAGCTGAATAGTAAGAGGCATCTTACCACTGTCTCCTCTTTGTTCCCCCACAAAAACGCAGGTCGCCAACAAAATGAAGCATAACCGGTACGCCATCGTTGGTGCAGAAATGAGTGTCGTACACAATTTATGGAGTATTTATAGGAGTGCTCACGTTTATGTTAGCCTATAAGATACCCTGTCCCTGACCCGCAAAACCACATGTCCTTCTGCATACTGCAGGATATTACCTGTTGTGTCGTGTTGACCATAACACTTCCAACTCCCACACTTGTTAACGTTGGGGTGAAGAGTGAAGGAATCTGACTTTCATGGTATGAAGCACTGAGTTGACTATCATATCACCTTGGCACAAGATATTGCGAGTAGGGCATTTTCGAAATCGGCATTACCTTGGAAGTGTCCATTCACTGTTTGGGAAATCGTCGTCACAAATTGAATGACAGGACTGCATTTATAGCTTCTTTACCAAGACTAGCCAAGACTTCGCATAGCACGTAGGTAGGAGTTGTGCCCTCAGTAAAGGGAGGTAGGGGAACGCTGCTTGATGGTGGAGGATGACAAATGTGAATCGTGCTTTGTGTACACCCCTGTGCCACAACTTCGTTTTACAGATGCTTCGTCAAACCTGTTGTGTATTTCCAAGTGACATTTGAGTACACATTGGAGAAAAGAGCAACGAAGAGTGTCAATGCCATTAAGTGAAGTGGTAAAGAAATATTGCTCTTGAAATGATCTGCAATTTCGACTCGCTTGGGTCTACCATATCCTGTCAAACCCGGACTTCCAATTCTGTGGGCTGCACCTTCAATTTTGCCTTCTTTGTAGAGTCACTTTATCAGTTTGCTGTGCGCAGCAATGCATTGTAATGCTCTGTGATATAGCATGGTAATTTGCATTTCAATTCGATGAGCATTTTAAACTGTGTGTGGCTGTCGGTACACGGATACATCTAGAAGAGCGATGCGTCTGACATTCGACACCGTTGATGGTACGGTGCATGTCGATGTGCAATTTGCAGCTGGCCATTCTGGTTGAAATTTTATAGGGTTAATCCACATTACGTGCTGCCTTCAGACATGCCTTCAAAGCATTCAATTTCGTTTTGAATTTTCTGAGTAACAGCTGCCTTCATCGAAACCATTCCAGTTCGTTTTGATAGACGT